TTCTTTAAATGACCTAATAGTGTTCCGTGAATATAGAGAGTATTACAGCTAACATACAAATAAACGTTTCCTCTTTATACGTAGGTATACCAAATAGTAGGATAAGATGTTATTTTTAGTTTGTTTTGTTAATTACACTGTACTTATTTACATTAAATAAATAATTTATAATCAAGAATTTTGATTTAGTACCTATCTACGCAATCTTTATAATCAGGTAAAGTGAAATATTCATTTGGTATAGGCACTAAACCGATGAAAATAAAAAATATTTTACAATGATGGAAACAAGATTAAACCTGTACTCATAATATTATAATTAATATAATGCGTTATAATAATTATTWWAATTAAATGGACATATTTAMATATTACATACGATATTATATACTAGGTACACTTTATGTGTTAGGTCTGCGGTAAACTTATTTACAAAAGACTGGTTCATGTCATATAATAATATAATATCATCGATGGCAACACACTCGAGTACAAAGCGGTTTATTTGCAGCACTGTGTTGAAGAGATTATTTTCACAAGGACACAGCAGRGCAAACTACTAGAGGTAGTGGAATTCGGTTTATTAAAAGGGAAGTAAGGTGAAGGAATATGAGGTAGAGAAGAAGTGTAGAAATACGTCCTCTACAGTTATTCGTCCATGAGTTGTTCCAATTTCAGAGTTGGGAAGTTTTCGTTTCAAATCCGATCATGGCGATCGTTGGTAACCGGTGATGCATGGGCCGATAAGCGGATCAGTGTGTTCAGGAAGTTTATAATGAAAGATGGTTAATACTCTGCGAAAGAGGTTTTTTGGCTACTGTCATTGCGTTTCAAGGCGTAAAATAATTACGAAACTACGAGTACATTCCACGGGAGAGAGATTACTAAAACCAATGTTCCGACCACATGTACACCCTTGTAAATGACGACTTTTACATTCTTCACATAGAATTAACACATTATAATTATTTTGTTATTCGTCTATACTACACTTTGATGGATTTAATTTAATAATTGTTTAGTTCAACAATAATTTCTATAATATGTTGTATTTGTCGTGATATCGAATCAATTAATTTAGCATATTGCAATAATTAATAAGCAATCGTAAATGTGTGGAAATCACAACTAGCATATTTAAGTAGTGTGTTGACATTATGATAACATTGATAACACACTGATCAGCATAATCATCAAATCAATATATGATATCATAGACATGTTAAAGCATACAAGACGCCATCCTATATAATATAGACCTAGTGCACGAGTGTAAACGAATTTCAGGATAAGGCCATTTAGTGTGTAGTGTTGTTTCTGTTACGAAAGTTTATTTATTTATTTTAAATAGCTAATAAAGTCATAGAGACTAATTGCTATTTAAAATTATAATATGGCGCTCGACGTGAGACACTAACCCRCGATCTCGAGATTAAGAGTTTTGCGCTCTTTAAAAGAAATTAAAAATATTTTATTATCCTCGTTTTATGTCAAGCTAAACTATTATTTTAATCGTCTACTTTCTCTAATTCAACTATAATAGTATTCTTAGGAAAATAATGRATCATAAAAATTTAATTTAGTTTGAATGCGAAAGTAAATAAGAATAATATAAAATATTATCTTTTGTAAATAACTTTTAAACAAGTTATTGATGTATCATTTTTTGTTAAGAGGTTTTCAAAAGTGTATATGTGATGATATTATTTTCTTATTCTATTATATTGACTTCTCAAACTGATAGATAAACTAATTCGAACTACTAAAAAAATAATAAAAAGTAAAGAAAAAGAAAGAGTCAAGAAATATTTTATATTAATATTAAAATTACATTCAGTTTTTTATATTATTGGACAAATTCAACACGAAAAAAATAAATATAATTTCGGTATTATATTACTAGAGTAATAATTACTATTATTGTATTAATAATAATCATTATATTATATCACTAAGTTAAAAGTTTATATTAAAACAAGAAGTATCATCTGAAATGTAATTTTCACTTACAGAGCTGTAAAAGTTTCTATAATTTTTAAGTAGGTAGAAAAAAAACCGATATGACTAAATTCCAACCTTAATAATTCATGTTCCACTTAACATTTTGTTTTGTGTGCTTCAATTTTATGAAATAGGCGACTGACTACGGAAAAGGCTATAAAATATATAAATAAATTAGTAAGTACTAATAAAAATATTTTAATTTCCATTTTTTTTTTTTTAAATTAGGAAGTTTAAATCTAAGAATTTGTTTATAATTTAAAACAGTTTTTATTCGCGTGTGGATTATACATTCCTATTKTAATACATATATTATAGACAATTACGTTAATACTAACAACGAAAATTCGTTATTCTAATGAATTATTAAAATCTGTAGTGAAACCTTTATTAGGGTGAAGTGAATGAAATGGAGCTCTTTTTTCTCCTATTCAAACATCAATTTATTAAAGCTATCTCCTCCCAAGCTAATTAACCAATTTCAATGAAACCTGAAATATAAATAATTGGTAAAGTCTGAAACGTGCATAACTTTAATAATGAACTTTTTTGGTGATCTTCTAGTTTRACAATACCTATGGGTAAATCTTAGTTGTTAAAGTGACAAAAAGTAAATTATTATTAAGAAAAAAACTATWTTTAACTTATAAAACATTAATATGAAGGTTATTGACTGTCAGTGGTGTATATAAAAATTAATTTCAGGGGGGGGGTAGTTTGATTCTCCAAAACTCCCCTATATACCTCATTATTACTGTTATGTKTATTATCTTTAACAACAACGACACATTTCAATTAATTAAATTATTAAACAGTTCATTGGAAACAATCATAGAATGAGTAATGCAATGCAATAAAAAAAACCGACTCAGTTTATTGCACAAAATAGAATGAATTTAGAGAYTGTACGGATTGGTTTTCAATACTTGACTTATACAGAACAATTTTTAAWTGCAAAAGTGCAGYCAGTTATGTACCTATATATTCACACAATGTAACTCTGCAGTTAATCCCTGAGCTACACTTATCATAAATTAGAACAAAGCAAATAGACTTTGCATTAATGAATATAATACATAATTGTTACAGAACCAGATTCTGCATCGYCAAATGAAGCTCTAGGATCATCTGTAGATTTACGTTTATGCGCATAAAGACACAAGAATTATTTTACGGGGAAATCATTGAGCTTCCAAAGCATTCTCTAAAACGGTTTAGTCGCAACAATAATATTATATATTATTTACAGTAATATAGTAGGTACAACACTAAAGGAAATAATAATTATTAAGAAAATATAATATACCCTTGTACAGATTAGTTTCTTTGCCATGGACTTACAACTTATGGAGATTTTGTTCATATTGTAAAATATTAGAATCGTATTTTAAAAAATACGAAATTTCTCGTACTAGAAAACATTTTCCTTTAACTTTTGCTCGAATGTGGTATTATTAAATTCATCAGTYACAAAGAATAACTTAAGAAAAATCTATAGTTGGYATGTAGACACAATAAACACAGTTATGTGTAAAGACGTTATCCGGGCTATTGCTGAACTTGTCGTTTAATATATCGATCGACTTTAAAAAAATTAACTGAAGTACTACTATAGTTGATAAAATGATAACGCTTGTGGAATTTATATGATAAAAATAAAGTGGCATTTTTTGAATTAGAATTATTCWAATACAGAACTAAGCGTTAGCACCATTTAATATTGTAAAAGCTTTGGCGCACTGAACAAGATGTAAAAAATATAAATGAAACTTGGCGAGATGCATTTCATTGAAATAATTTAACAAAGCACGATGAATTAAAAAAACACGTTAAATAATTAGTTTTTGTGAAATTCAAAATTATTCATCTTACTACTGACGGACATGAACACACCTRGTGTTATTATAAGATATTTTTGTAATTTAAATGCATAGTATTACTACCAATAGATCATCGATATTCTATAGATTGAGTAAAATATTTTTAGATTATGATTATTAATTTATATAAAATTAGTATTTTATTCAGAAAGAGATTCGATTTTTTTAAAGATACCGTTTCAAAAAGACCATAAGTATTTGTTTTATCACTAAATTAATTTTTTAAATTATTAAATAAATTACACATATTATATAAGTAAATATAATATTACAACTAACATTAAATATTTTAAACGGTTTCGTTTTAACTACAACAACTATGATTTACTTTGATTTTTATATTGAATATGTTTTATGTACAAMATATTTTAATCAAAATGTTTATAATATTAAGTAAAAAAACGGATAAGAAAAAACGGCGAACATGAACAAAATAAAGATGAGCAAGATTTCAGTATAATCTGATATTATTTAGGATTAAAAAAATTAATAAGGTTAGTAGAATATAGAATATTAGTTTGTATCTTATATACTATGATAATGACATTCCGAGTCGCATAAAAAGAAATTAATATAATGATTCGGTAAAATTTAATGGACCAAATATGAACTTGGATGACTAAATTATATTATTTAACTATTTATTAAGGGACCATTAGATTACAATTAATTCATTAAGCATTAAATGATTGCTTATGAAACACGGCATAACGATAATAATAAAAAAAACTTATGATAAAATGAGCGAACAATAGAGTTAAAGATTTTAACAAACATTATGATTTCAAGATGATACATTATATGCATTCTATGMTTTCTATACGTTCTTATGGATTTGAGTTGTTTTCAAATAATATCCTAAGCATTATCATTGTTCACACTGTAAGTCGAAATTAAGGAAAGTCATAGATTAAAAATACATTTTTATTTTTCACGAGAAGGATTATCGCCTTTCAGTCGTGCTCTGCGTGCATAGAGCAAACATGGTGCAAGTCTATGTAGAGCGTAGTGTAGGTTTAGTGTAAAAGGTGAGAAATTGTGCAGCGCTGGTGATAGACGAAGCCGTGGTGCGAAGAATAGTTTCATTTTTTTTTATGACCAATAGTTACTGATACCGACCCTGGCTGAAGTGAAGCCGCCTTCGGGAGCACTCACCCTGTTACCACCGATATTGTTGACCACACACGTGAATATCGCGTCTCGGCCCTGGGCAATAGTCACGTTTTCCAGTGGGAACAAAAAGTCTGGCTCGAAACCGTTCACTGAAACATACAACAACAATATATGATTATTATCGACAACGGGCATCTCGTGGTATATTATATTAAATCACGTAAAGTGTTTCCGCAGCAAATTGAAAAAAAAAATAGCAGGGATTATTTGTTCCTATAAGTGTTTTTACAACCTCGTTCTCCTTCAAAAGTTACGAGATATTAAATTATTTTCCTCTTATTTTCTTATTATTTGTCATGTTCGACCTAAGTCGTAGTAAATAAGTTTTTTTTGGTTTGGTTACTAACTGYGATACGTGTTAACTGATGAACCATTCTAGAGATGTACAATATTTCGTTATTAGTTTTAATGCGATTTATTGCTAATAAAAAAAAGTTTAATAACTTAATAATCCTAAAAAAAGTTAACATTCAAAAGCTGTCTATACATTTTAAGAATTTGTTTCATTTGTATAATTTATCGTAAGTGGGTACCTACTATATTCATTTAATATATTATATTGTATTCTTAACGCATTGTAACTACTTATTCAAAAATTTAAAATTAGTTAAAATAACAGTTTTGAATATAAATAGAAAAAATGTAAATGATAAAATATTGTCATTATATAGAAATTCCATTGATACATTAATTGTTTTCCATAGTGTACAAGAAAATAACAATTATATATAGTATCATATAATATTTGTTTATGCGTAAATAAACAAAATAACGCCAGAATGCTGCCACCATTAATAATTATCGTTATATTATGCTCTATTCATAATAATTGAAGGTTATGAAAATTTTATAAATAAATTATAATTGATGCATTCAATGTTATTTTTTGAAAGTGTAGAGGTCGATTCTGGTTTTTTTACTGGTAAAATTATACAATATGTGATTAATTATCTCGAACTTGCCAAGTTTTAATTGCACCGGACAATATATTTACACRTAAATGACGGACATATACGATTACACTGAAATAAGTGAAAATATGAGAACAATAAAATTATGTTGGTATAGTACATCATGGAGATTAATGAAAGGATCACGGGCAGGAAGTAAGTGCTATGTTATAGTTTTGTACCATCATATAAGTTGAGATTACTGAAAAATAAGATTTAAAAAAAAAACTGAGAGAATCGCAAATTCGCAATACAGTACCTAAATCGATCGAGAAGAGAGAACCTAAAACTCCCGGTAAAAATAGATACATGCAATAATTAGCTATGGGGAGAGAGATACACAGAGAGGTGAAGTGAGTGACACTAAAATTATTTTGTAATGAAGTGAAGGGTGAAGCTGATTTTTTAACATGTATTATTATTTTGGTGGTTAAATTTATAATTTATGGTTATAAGATCAATTTATTTAAATACAAACTAAAAAGTTACCTAATTAATAGGTATTAATAACAATATTTTAATTAAACTATTAAATCTATTTTTGTTCTCCTGCTAATTTATCTACTGTGCTTTGTTTGCGGTTGTAATCTTCCAATGAACCTTACCTAACTATTCCCCACTCCGGGTATCGTTAAACATTTTCAATTAGCGAGCGGAATAATTCCGTATTTGTTTAAATAATTTGTARGTCATAATAAAAATATCCTAGATAAAGCTATAATAGATAATAATATATAGTGTAATATAGAAATATTCTGTGGAAATTTATTATACCCTACCTACTTGATTTTTAAAAATAATTTCATTTTTCTTAAATTAAATATAATATGTCATAMAGTACAACTTTCATATTATACTGAATTTCTATTTAATAACATTATCGATTTAATGAAATATTTTTGAAAATCAAACCGAATTGGAACCAAATTCGTCTAATTCTATTTACCGAATTTGAAATTTCTCTGTAACACTAATTTTTGTAGCCCACGAGACTTCTTAATATGGAAATGTTGATGTATACCTACAAATAATAATATAATATACATTATGCGTATTATATATTTATATATTTAAAAAAGTGGCATGGGGGAGATATATCTCCGTCATCGCTTCTCTCTCTCTCGCTAATTCACCGCTTCTGGATATAAAGTGGTAGGTGCATAGTATGAAATAAGACATAAAAAAAAAAAAAAAAAATAGTACAACGTGTAAACAGTTATAGTTTAATACGGAACAACCACGTCTGATCAAATTCAACATTAGAGAAGACGGGAGGAATGCATATTAATATGTTGTTTACTGTGTAGAAATTACTTCGCTTATATTATATAATATTATACATAAACATGCATACGACGACGTGCATATAAAATATAAAGGTTATATCGTGCTGCAATATAATATAACAAGAGGATGAGGGCCTTTAGTATTTAGCTTTGATCGAAACGTATGTGTGTGTATGCGAGCGTGTGTGAAACGATCTGCAAGGTTTGTTTCTCGAACGGATGGATGAGTAGAATAAAAAACAAAAACAAAAAATAATAAAAATGTTTGAAATAACAAATCCCTCACGAGGTAACGGAACCGGCGAGAAGCTGCTATGGCGCTGTTCGGTCACCGCCATACGCTCGCACTCGGCCTCCGATAACCACATTAATTAATTGCGATAGGGTATACATATACACATAGCGCAAATTAAAGGGTAGGAAAACGAGTATTCTGATTTATGGAAGCCAGCCCACCCCCACCGACGCCGTCGACCGACGCCGTCGACCGACGGTCCTGTGGTCTCTACGTCTCCCCATCCTCGTCCTACTCTTTTCACCGACCATTGTAGCGGAGAGCGATCCCTTTTCGAAAACCAATGTCCACGGGGCCTTTGCACATAAAAACACATGTTTCGAAAACAAACTTTCGCGAATTTAATTGAAAACGTCTGATTTAATTTATAAGCGAGCCCTACGCGCTAATTTTTACTTGTCTCGCGCCAAAAAAATCCTATTTGTCATGATACCATGTAATTAATTTTTGTTCAACTTGCTTATTGGACTTCAATTTATTTTTTACAATTTGAAAAATCCTTTAAATGTTTTATAAGGTGACGGTTATTCTCATTACCTACAATTTCACAAATTATCGATTGTAATGTTTTGAATATCAAAAGAAAGAATGAATATTTCATACTGTTTATAGCTATACAATTTACAAATTCTATTTAAAATGTAATTATTTCATTTTTGAAAATCTTTCAATGTAGTTTCAAGTTTGGTAGGTAATTTAYAATATTATAGCCTAAAATCAATTACAGAACACAATTTTCAAAATAAATTTCTATATTTTTGTATCCATTATTATAATTTTTTTTTATGAGAAGCCATATGCCTACTCATGTCCATGTCAACTTGTCCTCTAGTACATAATTTCCTGATCTAAACAAACGATTCCATGATGTTCGGTGGAAACGTCACAGGGTGGACAAAGTCTTACTCAGTGGATCTCACAATGGATTATAATAAAGTAACTTAAATGTAAAAATATTTCACAAAAAATTGCAGCGGACTGGGAAGTATCGGTAGGGAAAACTTTCGAAAAAATGTTCATAAATTAGATTTATATAAAGGCGTTTTAAAACACACAATTTAATTAAAAATATATATTTTCGTAACGTTAAAAGTCGTGTAATTTTATAATTGCAGGTTTTTAAGGATAATATATTATTAATAGGAATAATTATAATTTGTGTGTTGCACAGTTAATTTAAATCAATAATAGCTAGTAACACTTGATATACACAATATGAATTATTTGACATAAAATGTAATATATTAAAAAATAAACAAAATTTATAATAATGTATTCTGTTATAAAAATATTAAATCATGATAAATTATAAATATCAAAAAAAAAATTAGCTCCATAAATTGATGTCTAATATTGTTGTTATTCATTACTCAAAAATTGAAAATAAATTTTAAGAGTTTCTACTTTACTTGAGTGGTCGAGTAGGTTAGTTAATATTTTTTTATTTATGYGGTTTAAATTTTAACAAATTTTGCTTTGTCTCCGATGACTTAACACCTTATTGTGATAGATATGATTTCTCGAGTACGTATGCCGGTGACACACACACTCGTCWTATAATCGTTATAACATTAAACATGGAAGATATACGATGAACGCGAAGATATTGTGATTATTTAATCAACAGTATATTGTGTCACAAAGTGATAAACATTACCAGCATCTTAATATATTATTCAATGTGGAAAATTATATTAAAATGTCAGTATCAATAAAATAATTAATGACACTAATTTTTGAACTAATTAATTCACTATTCAATATTTGAGATAAAATATTAGTTAATATAATATACCTATAGTTGTATAGAATAACCAAAACAGTGAAGTATAGTGATAAAATTGTACGTGAATGGTGAATATAATTTCCAACAAAAATATGAAAAATATAAATTATGAAAATAAAAGGAGGATCGTAATTTGTAAAACACATCGAGATTAATATCCACAATATAGTGTAATGACAAGTCGGCTAAAAATGAATTTAGTGTTCATGCTTAATCCTGTTGATTTGAAATGTATAAAATWTTTCATAATAATAGTAAATTGTTGCTAGAAAGTATTATGTAAAAAAGAAAAATAGTGTAATTTTTTATTATTATCATTTCTCTGGCAGTAAAATGTATACTTCACATAATATGTGCATACAGTATCATAGTGTATAATAATAGGTACATACATATGGTACATATAATATGTCTATTACATTATATGTATACATATATGTATGTACCTATGTATGTTTGTATGTATGTATTTAAATATATATAAAGGGTGTATGAGTGTGTGTGTGTGCATGTGAGGGATTCTCGGAAAGCGTTATTCTTATCGTTTTTCAAATTCCAATCGCAGCAACAGCGGCGGAGACAAGTCGCCGTCGTCCTCCTCTTCGCCAACAGCCTATATATATATACCCTCCCTTCCGATTAGACGTTGTCGCGTATAAATAAACGATTACCAAAATAATGGGCCGTTACACGTTTTGTATTTAAATTCGATTCCGTCGATTACTCTTTGTGTTTGTTTTTATTTTTTCCCTATTATTTCTCTCGTCGGTGC